CAGAGCCGGCGCGGGAGAGGAGCGCGCGCGGACCCCTCTTTGAGGGGAAAAAACAACAAAAAAAAAATAGTAAAAAAACCGCCCCCAGAGCCGGGAGAGGAGCGCGTGCGGACCCCTCTTTGAGGGGAAAAAACAAAACAAAACAAAAGTAAAAAAATCCGTTTCTAAGCATGCCTTTAATATTCAGCCTGGATGTGACGTCACTGAGAAATTTTTGTTGGGCTCAAAGCGGCTGAGCAGCTCCCAAGGACACAGCTCTCACTGCTGGGAGCTTCATTCTGTTCTCTTGGGGGAAAAAAAGAAGAAAAAAAACAAGAGAAAAGCCCACGGAACCGTAGAGCCGCGGGGGAAAGTCTGGGGAAACGGTGATTGAAGGGGAAAATAACGGGCAGAGGACGCGAGCTGCGGCACAGGGCAGCAGGCAGGATCACCTTTATTTCCTGGGAGAAGTGGTCATTCTGCCATTCCCACAATGCCCGAAGAGCCCACCCGCCCCCCAGGCCCTCCACTGAGCCCGGGATCTTTCTGAACCCCAAAATTCTGGGTGCTGCTGCCAGCGATTAAATTAGTCGATGCACGAGAGGAAGAGAACACTCATAATTAAATTTAGACAAACGAGGGTAGGTTTGCTGCTCTCAAACAGGAATTTCATCTTGTTTTCTTCAAGCGTTAGGCAGAGTAGTCAACATTAGAGTATTTTTAGTGAAGGTTTCAGTATTCCCGCCTGCGTTGGGGATTCCCTGTGGACAGGTGTTACCTACAGCTTATTGGGGAGAACAGTCGGAGGCGTCAGCATCCACGGACTGTCTGGGAGCGACACGGCCCTCCTGCTGCTGGAGAAACAGCCCTTTCTCCATCCCTCCCTCCCTCCATCCCTCAGGAGCTCTGCAAAAGCAGGACTTGCCCTCGCAAGAGCCTCCACTGAGAAACCTTCTGCTCAGAAAGCAAACCCATCCAGACCCTCCACAGCCACCAGGAGCTTCCTGAGGTCCCTCTAGAGATATCCGTCCCGCTGTCAGAATTCATCCCTGAGGCAAAGAAAAACCAACAGTTACCATTCGCAGCTTCGGTTCAGCGACAGAATCACCACGGCTACCGTGCTTAGGAAAGAGCTCCACAAGAAGGAAAAAAGCAAAAAGAAAAAGCTCAAGTCCTCAGTCTGCAAGCCCCATCTAATAGAAAGCGCCTCCTGCTCCCCTGCTGTGCCTTTCCACAGCCAAACTCCTCCTCCTCCTCTCTCTCACCACCAGCACCTGCTGGGGATCCAGGACTCTGTCGGCAAAAGCAGGGTCAGGGAGAGTGAGCCCAGAGACAGCCGCGAGGGAGAAACGTTCCTCCGGGGAGAGCAGGTTTTTTACCGAGGCCACTGCTTCTCCTTATCTGTCAGGGGAACGTAGATGACCCCCATCAGCTGGGTCTCCACGATCTGCCCGTCGCTGGTTTTGTCGTACTGCATCAGCACCTGGTTGGCGCCTTCGGGGCCAACGGGCAGGATCAACCGACCTCCCGGCTTCAGTTCGTTCAGCAGCTGGGGGGCAGAGAGACCAGCATCAGCAGGGGCAGGAAAGAGAGACAGGACAGATACAGAATCACAGAATCTTAGTGGTTGGAAGGGACCTCTGAGATCATCGAGTCCAACCACAAAAAAAAAACAAAAAAAGAGAAAAAACAAAAAAACACACCACACCAGACGCCCACCAAAAACACCGCACCCACCAACTAAACCCCACACTCAACACCTCGCCATAAACCAATAACCTTGGGCACTAGAGCAGGCCCTGAAGAGCCATGTCTATACGTTTCTTAAATCCCTCCAGGGATGGTGACTCCACCACCTCCCTGGGCAGGCTGTTCCAGGGCCTGACCACTCTCTCAGTAAAGTAATTCTTTCTAATATCTAATCTAAATCTCCCCTGCCCCAACTTCAGACCATTTCCTCTGGTCTTGTCGTTCGTCCTTTGGGAGAAAAAGCCAACCCCTGCCTCTCTACACCCTCCTTTCAGGTAGTTGTAGAGGGCAATGAGGTCTCCCCTCAGCCTCCTCTTCTCCAAACTAAACATGCCTAGTTCCCTCAGCCTCTCCTCGTAGGACTACAAACCACACTGAGAAGGTTGGCACACCTTGAAAAGCATGACCTTGGCAGCTCCGTATCAGACAGACAGAAAAAAACAGCTTCCAGAGGTTCCCTAATTATTAGGGTTTTTTTTAAATCCTCTGAGGCTGGAGCCCCATGGCAACAGACACCCCCCAGGACCGCTCTCACCTCCTTTGGGACGGTCGCTGCTGCTGCCCCAACGTGGATGGCGTCGTACGGAGCCTCCTCGGGGTAGCCCTGCCTGCCATCGCCAACTGCCGGAGCAAAACACCCAGAAAACACTGTATATTTCACTGAATTTCACTGAATTTCACTGAATTTCTAGAGTTGGAAGGGACCATAGAGATCATCTAGTCCAACTCCCCTGCTGAAGCAGGATTGCCTAGAGCTAGAGCATGTTACTCAGGACTGCATCCAGGCGGGTTTTGAAAATCTCCAGAGAAGGGGACTCCACAACCTCCCTGGGCAGCCTGTTCCAGGGTTCCGTCACCCTCACCGTGAAGAAGTTTCTCCTCTGGCAACAACCCCAGGCAGAAAAAATACTTGTTCTGATCACAACCCCACGCAGAAATAATTCCTCCTATATCCTTTCAGTTGAAATCTAAATGAAAACTTTACAACAAGACTGTGATGGGAATTTGAATTTTTGTCAGCTTACTTTTTAAAGAGGGGGAGTGATTTCTGGAATGAAGCCACGTGAGAAGGGGGACAGTGAAAGCCAGGAGGCCCTTTCAGTGACACGGTGGCTTTGTGCGGGCCCGAGATTCCAGACACAGGAAAAGCTGACTCAAGTTATCCCTCCCAAAACACCACAACGGCCTGTGCAGGCCCATTCAGAGAAACCAAAACTCAGAGGGGTACAACTGCTCTGCTCTGAAGAGTGTCTCTTGCTGAATGAGGGCAGCCACCAATTTTTGTCAGCTTACTTTTTAAAGAGGGGGAGTGATTTCTGGAATGAAGCCACGTGAGAAGGGGGACAGTGAAAGCCAGGAGGCCCTTTCAGTGACACGGTGGCTTTGTGCGGGCCCGAGATTCCAGACACAGGAAAAGCTGACTCAAGTTATCCCTCCCAAAACACCACAACGGCCTGTGCAGGCCCATTCAGAGAAACTCGAACTCAGAGGGGTACAACTGCTCTGCTCTGAAGAGTGTCTCTTGCTGAATGAGGGCAGCCACCACACACTCGGAGCTAAGGGGTACAGTAAGACCTCTTGGAGGATTCAATATTACTGGTTTACACCAGGTCAGTGTGGCACAGGGCTTACTCTGGTTTCTGGCAACACCATGACAAGCATCAACGCAAAGGGCAACAACTGCTCAGAGAATCACAGAATCATAAAATTGTCTGGGTTGGAAGGGACCTTTCAGATCATTGAGTCCACCCATCAACCTAACTTTGATAAAACCCAGCACTAAACCACGTCTCTAAGCTCTGTGTCAACCTGGCTTTTAAATCCCTCCAGGGATGGGGCCTCAACCCCTTCCCTGGGCAGCCCATTCCAATGTGCAATAACTCATTCCGTGTAAAAATTGTTCCTAATCTCCATCCTAAACTTCTGGTGCAACTTGAGGCCATTTCCTCTTGTCCCATTGCCTGTTCCTTGGGAGAAGAGACTGACCCCCCTGGCTACCCCCTCCTTCAGGGAGTTAGAGAGCGAGATTGCCCTTCTCTGGACACACCACAGCCCCTCAATGGCTTTTTTGTGGGAGCTGAGGGAACACACGTTCACAGGAGGGCACAAGCACCAGGACCCAGAGATCTCACCCACAAGCTTTACGCGGCCAGAGCTGAGCAACGTTGGATCATCTTCTTGGACGTTTCTGATGGACTCATGTACCAGCTCTTTAATGTGCTCCACCCCCACAGCTTTCCCAGTCGGGCCCATCTGGAAACAAAAACAGCAGACAAACACCTAACACCCCCCCTATACGATAGAGGGGTATATTTTATAGAGCAAGTTACTGTGGGGGGCAGAGAATTGGAGAACTTCCAGGAAATATTCTGGTCCCTGGATTTAAGGGTGAGTGGTCCCAGCTGGATCAGCTACTCGAGGGATACACAGACAGTGCCTACAGGGATTCCGAGTAATCCTTCATTTCCAAGGAAATAATTATTTGGTAGAATTAGCAGCTCCTGTGGCAGGGCCAGTTCTTGACTAAGCAACCTCTCAAGAGCAGTAACTTCACCAGCCCTCTAGCACTTCACAGAAAATAATTTCAGAAGTTTAACAACCAAAGAAACAGGCTGTGACTACTTCAGAATCAACCCAAAAAGAACCTAGAGTGGACGTGCACAGAAGCGTAACACACTCCTCTCAATCTCAGCTGGCTTAACATACAGAACACCCCACAGCAGGTGCACCAGCCACCCAGATTCCAAAAGTGACCATATTTGGGTTTATACAGCTGGTCTGGGAAGAGTTTACACAAAAAGCCTGTTCCACCACAGCAAGCCCCCCACCGCAGCCCGCAGAGCTTACCATCCTGGCAAAGCAAGCCGTGAGGTACCCGCTTCCAGAGCCAACATCCAGTGCCTTAGCACCTTCCACAAGCTGATCCTTCAGCAGCTCCAGCGCGTGGGCATGCTGCAAGGTGGGAAACAGCCCCGTTTAGTTTCCCCTCATCCTTTAGTTTCTCTCATCCTGAGCCTTATCCGCTCTGGTTTCAACACAGCACAGCGGGCACTCTGTCTGACACACTCCCAGGGACATTCAAGTCTTTAAGCTGGAAGATCTTTTTCAGAACAGCATTCAGAGGTGCAGTAGTAAGATGTGAAGCAGCAGGAAAAATGGTTTCATGCCAAAAATGGACAATATTCATGGTTAGCCTCACTTGCATGGAATTCCTCTCTAAGCACACTTTTAAAGCAATTTAAGAAGTATACAGCAAACTCTTCTTCAAAACAAAGAAGCCTCACATATAGTGCGTGTAAAGAAAGAAGTGTGATAATCACATCCATGGGATCTGTTTCACCTTTCTACTGTAGTTTTTAAGAAAAAAAAATGGGCAAAGCCCCTTTTTTTTTTATTTCTGTTAAAAGTGAAAAGTTTCATCTTACCATATGCGGTGCGCTGATTGTAGCCTTGTATCCTAAAAGAAAAGAAGTGGCAATTAAAATTACCAATGCAAACAGCTCTATTCTCCCCCCACTTTCCCCTAAAAATTTCCTTTGGATCCCACAGCTGGACGAGGGATGGGGTTTGCTCCACCTGACCCATCGTAAGACTCAGCTGCTGTTTTGGGGAGAGAGCACCCAGCACAGGGAGCTGGGACCTGCCCAGCCATCCCCAGGACAAGCACAGTGGAAGAACAGTGATGCTTTGCCTTAAGGTACTCACCGATGGACTGAGGAGAATCCATGTACGGGAAATACTTGATGTAGTGACCTCTGTCAGTAGCCAAGAGCACATCAAACACTCGCTGGGATTTAATTATCCCTTTTTCTGAGAAATAAAACAGGGACAGAGACGACTTAGATCCTCTGTCCCGTAACAAGAGGAGGTTTGGAAGGGGGAGCACAGTTCGGGGAGTGAGTGGAACTGGGAGAATTCAATGTTAAGATTCCGAGAAGGGACAGAAAACAAAACTGCAGATGGAATTAGGTCCTTTTCAGTTTCTGTCACATCAAATGAAATCTCATCACTGTCCCAGCCCTCAGCCCAGTCTCTCTCAGAGGACGGTGACCAGTGTTTCTGGGGCTGCCAAACGTAACCAAAGATAAACCCAGTCACACCTTCACTCCTGAAAGCAGAGACTGGGGTTCAGGTTTCAGGAGCGCTGACACAGTGAGTAAACTAAAGCTAAGAGCAATGACTGCAGAAACATTCAACATCCCTTCACACCTCATCTCTGAGGGAACTCTTCTGGGGGAAAACTCAGCTTTGGCAGCAGCAGGGGAAATTCAAAGCAGTTTTTCAGTGTGTCCCAGCCCCTGCCCAGGGCATTGCGCTGGAGGGGAAGCACGGGCTGAAGACACTTCAGTGTCCATGGGCTCAGAGCAATGTCACGTTATGGAGCCTTTTAAAAGAGTCATCTATTTACAACTCCAGAGGAGCTGAAGGAAGACTGTGGATAGAAGCCTGGCCAGCAGGGAGAGGAGGGGGATTCTGCCCCTCTGTTCCACTCTGGGGAGACCACCCCTCCAGTGCTGCCTCCAGCTCTGGGGCCACCAACATGCTGGGAGGGCTGGAGCCCCTCTGCTGGGAGGGGGGGCTGAGAGAGATGGGGGTGTTCAGCCTGGAGATGGCTCCAGGGAGACCTTGGAGCCCCTTCCAGTCCCTCCAGTGGCTCCAGGAAAGCTGGGGAGGGACTCTGGATGAGGGAGGGGAGCCCTAGGAGGAGGGGGAAGGGTTTGACCCTGAAAGAGGGGAGATGGAGCTGAGATGTGGGGAAGAACTTGTTTGGTGTGAGGGTGGTGAGAGCCTGGCCCAGGTTGCCCAGAGAAGCTGTGGCTGCCCCATCCCTGGAGGGGTTCAAGGGCAGGTTGGAGGGGGCTTGGAGCAACCTGGTGTGGTAGGAGGTGTCCCTGCCCAGGGCAGGGGGTGGGACTAGATGGCCTTTAAAGGTCCCTTCCCACCCAAACTATTCTACGGTTTTATGATAAGTCTTTCCTGCCACTTTTGGCATAACATCTTGTTTCCAATTATAAATAGAACAAGTTCAGCCCGGGACAGACGCCGTAACGGGGACAATCGTTAACTCCAGCGTCCCAGAGTGAACAGCATCAGGACGTACGGCTGCAGAACAGCCCACACCCGCACACGGAGGAGCCAGCCCGCTCCCCGGACGGTGAGTGCCGGTACTCACTGTAGAGGTTGTTGACGAGCTCGGGGTGCGTTTTGCCGCTGGAGGTCCAGGCCATCGTCCTGGCGAAGAGCAGGCCCATGAGTGCGAGAAGGGCGGCGGGCGGCAGAGAGCTCATCCCACGGAGAGGGGGGCCTGCCGGGAGGGAATTCAGGCCCCCAAACTTAGTATTTCTTCACCGCCGCCCAATCCTGCAGTTATTAGAGCACTCGGAATGCGCCAGAGCTGGCGTGTGGCACAGGGCGGGCTGTCCGCCCCACAGAGCCAACACCGGCCCCGGGCCCAGTCCCCCGGCCGAGGGAGAACCTTCCTCCCCTGGCCCGGCCGGCCCTTACTGGGGAAGGGCCCGGAGCAGGCCCCAGCCGCCCGCTCCCCGCCAGCCCCCCCGAGCCGGTACCGGCCCCGCGCAGCCGCCCCGGTGCCCGGTGTAACGGCGCACTCGCCTCCGCCGCGCAGGAAAACTTCCGCCCTTCGCCAAGATGGCACCGACGCGGAGTCACAGAGCTGGCGTGTGGCACAGGGCGGGCTGCCCGCCTCACAGAGCCAACACCGGCCCCGGGCCCCGCGCCCCGGCCGAGGGAGAACCTTCCTCCCCTGGCCCGGCCGGCCCTTACTGGGGAAGGGCCCGGAGCAGGCCCCAGCCGCCCGCTCCCCGCCAGCCCCCCCGAGCCGGTACCGGCCCCGCGCAGCCGCCCCGGTGCCCGGTGTAACGGCGCACTCGCCTCCGCCGCGCAGGAAAACTTCCGCCCTTCGCCAAGATGGCACCGACGCGGAGTCAGTTGCCCTCACGCGTCCCGTCTCTTCCCTGCCCTCCGTTGGGCAGCGGGCCAATGAACGCCCTCTCCCTGCCGGGGGAGCGCGGCGATTGGCCGGAGCCGGACGCCAGTCGAGGGGCGGCGAGAAGCCGTTGCGGGTCCCGGTGTTTACGGTGCGGGCGGCTGCAGCGGTGGCGGTGGCCCAGGCGGGTGCGGGGACCAGGGCGGCCTCTTCGTGTCCCCTCCGTGTCCCCGGGGAGAGCGGCTCGGGCGGCCGCGGGGAGCGGGGGCACCGGGGGCCTGGGCGGAGGGGCGCGGTGCCGGCAGGGGCAGCGAGGCCTGTCCCCGCGGGGTCCCTCAGGTCCCGGGTACAAACGCCTCCGGTGGGGCAATCGAGGGGCGGCGAGAAGCCGTTGCGGGTCCCGGTGTTTACGGTCCGCGGGGTCCCTCAGGCCCCGGGTACAAACGCCTCCGGTGGGGCCTGCGGGGGCTCTGCGGGGGGAGGCCGCGGGGGGTCCCTAAAACATCTGGTGACGCACCTCGGGCAGAGGAGGGTGGATGGGGCAGCCGGGAGAGGGTTTTTTCTGCTCGCAGTTCATCATTTAATTCCCCCCCTCAGGACTTCGCCATGAGGATGATCGAGAGCGTGGACTCGGTGGTGGCCCGGTCCGGAGAAGACCTCTGGGCCGAGATCTGCGCCTGCCTGCCGCGCCCCGAGCAGAAGGATGGCACCGACGCCTTCACGGACTCCTTCACGGACTCCTACGCCGAGGCGGGGAGCCAGGGCAGGGGAGCAGATGCCCCTTCCCAAACCAGTCCGAAGCCCTGGGCGCCCCTGAACGATTCCGAGGTGTATTTGGCGTCCCTCGGTGAGTGTCTGGTGAGGCTGCGGCTGCTCCGGGTGCTCAGGTGCCCGGTGACAGCTGTGGCTCTCTGTGGCTGAGGTGACAGTGCTCACAGCTCTGGGTGGGAGGATGTCTCACAGCTATTTCATAGAGCATCCGACTCATTTACTGCGAGTGCATCAGTGGAAATGAGAAGCACAGTCATAGCTCCTTCAGCTATGCCACGGAAAGGAACTTTTTATTAAGTACAAACCAAAGATTTGGGTTTTTTTCCCCCCAGATAAGTGGGGTAGGGACGCTGCTCTTTCTCTCTGAACAGCACGTCGTTCCACTGTGGTTGACTTGGGGAGGGGAAATGCATCCTGAACTCATTACAGAGCCTGTGTGTTTTTATTACCAGCATTTGTCTCGTTCTTTTTATGGAGTCCCGGGAGATGCTTCTGAGTGGAAAGAGTAAAGTGGAGTTTCTTTTTGTGACCCATTTTCTGGTTGGAGAGGAGGGGGACAGGTATGGGAAAGAGCTTGGATGCTCTCCCAAATCACGCCTGCTAGAATCTGTATTTTAAGATGACAGATCATGAAGGTTATCTTTGCACAATTGCTTCTCTTCATTCCAGCATAATCTATAAAGCCATAAATTGATTGTGAACACAGTAACAGACAACAGAAACGCTTGATGGGAGGGATGATGAGGTTACCAGTACTGGAGCTAGCGCCCTGACACAGCCAACTGCTGCAGCCTTTAGCTCTGAGGCCAGGGAATTTTGTCACCCTCTTAAGTATTTCCTGCTCCCTGCAGAGGCCTCGTTGTTCTCAGCGTCCAGCCCCAGGGAGGATGCTCCTGCTGCCCGTTAGGAGGGAGCTTTGGGGTTCCCCAGCAGCTGGACTGCTGCTTCCTCCACTCATAGCAAAATATTCCATCTTTACAGCTCTTCTTTTCCCTTCTTTCCATCCTGTGGAGTTATTTTTATCCTGGGTCAGTTTGTAACCTGGTTTGCAGTACAGCATGTGCAGGAAGCTGCAGACAGAAACAGGCCGGGAGGAACAAGTGGCAGAAGTGGGTTTTTAAGCTTTTATTTCTGCTAGAGCTTTTGTCTTGCCTTACTTGCTGTTTTAGACTGTTATTTCAGAGTACAGTAAGTAGAGCTCTTACTATCAGATGAAGGATGCCACAGCAACAAGACATAAATCGCTTTTCTGGTATTAATTACTGCTGCAGTTCTGAGTTGTTCAGAGAATGCCAGTGGATTCATTTTTACAAGCAGGCTTCGGACGAGATCTGTGTCTGTTTTCTCACAGCCAGGGTAAAAGCGTGACACTTGGCACAAATATTCTGGCAAAGTCAACAGAAACACAGACCTGGTCTAGGTTAGTACCTGGCCAGGATTAGTGATTGTGAAATCACAGCATCAGCCTGGTGGTATGTTTGGACAGGTAACAGGAATTCAAATCTGAATTGCTCAGGCTTTTGGTGACAGCTCAATTCTGTGCCACAAGACAACCTCCAAACAGCCCAACAAGCAGCCCACAGCATCACAAACTAGCCCAGCTCATCCAGAGATGAACTTTTCAATAAAAAGTGTGATTACAAGTCAATACCTGACCCAATTTAAGGAGTTAAACCATTATTATGTGAATTTGTGACTAGAGCAATTAATGAAATTTGCTTTCTTGTAGCTTTGTATTGCAGCTGGGTTGCCCTGTGCCTGGTAAGGAGCTGCTTCTCATCTTCCCCTGGGGCTGAGAAACTCACAATATCACACTCTGTTACGAGATACCCAACTAATAATACTGCTACACTGGCATTATTTGGATTCACACTACAATTAGTGTGATTTATATTCCATGCCAATTTGCATGGAAATTGCAAGAACTTAATGCCTGTGAGATCTGAACCCTCCTGTGTGATTTCACAGAAACTGAGCAGTGATTATGGAACTCAAAAATGGGCAGAGTTGACTGACTGGGTAAACCTCACTTCCTTCAGAAACATCACCAAAAAAATACCATCTTGTACACGTAGAAGAAATACAGTTGTGCGGATTTGAAATACAGGGGGAAAAGACACTTCTAAAATAAGACTTGGTCCTGAAAAGTTAATTTAACTTTTTAGTTATGGAAGTCCAGATACGACTTTTCTTCCCTTTCAGAAAAACTGAATAAAGATAATCAAGTCCCCTCCTTTGCCTCCTCGCAGAGAGAAGACTGATGAGAATTAAAGGCTTGTCGCAGGAGGTGACCTCCAAGGACATGCTGCGCACCCTCTCCCAGGCGAAGAAGGAGTGCTGGGACAGGTTCCTGCAGGAGAAGTTAGAGGCTGAATTGTATCTAGAGGGACACGACTCTGACGAGAGGTAATAAGTTAATGAGAAGGGATCACCCCTTACTGCCTTGGCAAACAGACTTTTTTTTTCTCTTAAAAATTAAAATTAAGGTTTTGTCAGGAGTTGTGATAGGGTGTTATGACAAAAATGCCACCTCATTGCAGCTTGGTAAGGGGTCACAGGCTTTCTGAAACAGTTTGATAATGAACATTTGCATTGCACCAGGGGGAACACACAGAGCCTGTAGGGTTTGGACTTTCAGTGCTGTTCCCTGGTTTTTGCATCCATCAGACTAGGGCAGAAACAACCAGAACCTACTGGATAATGTCCTGGGTCGCATTCAGGGTAGGGAAGACTGGCATGGAGGGTCGGGGTGGGGTGTAATGTATCTCTGATGGCTTTTTTTAAAGGTAAACTTCAAAAGCAAAGCCCAGGCCATTCCCCAGAGGTTTGTGAGGGCCCAGGTAAGCACCGCTTCAGCCCCAAGTGGGATCTGAAGTTCGTTATGGGGTTGGTACCAGCCCTGAGATTAGATCTCCTGAGTGGCTCTCCCTTCCCTGCCTCTCTCACCCGCTGCCCTTTCACAGATGATGGATGAATTAAGATGAGAGCCCTTTTCTTTAGCAATCTCACATTTCCAATCACTTATAACGCTCTCCATTTTTCTCCTTCCTGAGCTGACATTTTTCATGATTGCCTCTAGCTGAAAAGAAGATTAGTTTTCTCCCTTGAAGAAAATCTACTTAAGCCAGTTTGGAAGTTTTAACTATGAAAAATAATCCATGTTTATAAGGAGTTTTTAGATTCTTTCTTTGACCAGTTAACTTCAACGTGATTTAAATTTAAAAACAAGCTTTTGTAGACGTATGTGCTCTCTCTGCTCTGTTTTTAAAGGCTGGGGGTGTTATCCATGAAACAATCCTCCTCCCTAGAATTTGACTCTGAAGTTAGAGGTCACTCCCAAAGGGTGCCAACGTATTTAATTCTCACCCACCAACATAATTAAACAAGCCTTAACTTTGAAGCCCACAGATAATTTCAAGGACATTACCCAGTGAAATTCTGCTTTTGTGAAAGAGCAAGTTAATTTTGTTGTGCTGGGATTGCGTGGCCTCATGGCACTTCTAGAAGATGAGCACACACACACGCATACATTTCAGAGTTATGATATTAAACCTCTAGGGCTATAGCCAGCATTTAAACAAAGAGGGGGTGGATCTGTTCTGGTCAGACCAGTTATTGCAAGATAGGCTGTAAGACAGGAGTTATGCCAGTATATATTTATAAACACCTATAGAATCCATAGCATGGTCACCGTTCCAGAGTGTCCACATGCCACCTGCTCCTTCTGTCATCTTTTGCTGTTATTAATGCTCACACGTTTTTATATGTGCTTCCTCTTTTGGTTTTGTTCCGATATTTATAAACACCTATAGAATCCATAGCACGGTCACCGTTCCAGAGTGTCCACGTGCCACCTGCTCCTTCTTTCATCTTTTGCTATTAATGCTCACATGTTTTTATATGTGCTTCCTCTCTTGGTTTTGTTCCACTCCCTGCCCTGCTACATTTTCTAATCTTCATCACAACTAGGCATTTGTAAGGGTTTTTTTTGGTTGTTTGCTTTAGCACTAGTTTTCTTACTTCCAGCCCAGAAAGCTGGAAATGGAATTGCAGTTCTGGCTACAGAGAGAGACCGGTGCTTTGAGAATGTAAAGGCTGATGGACCTGCTGAGGATCCTTGTCACTGAGAAAAATCTGAGTGGGAGACTTCTCCAAGCATAGTTGAAAAAGCCCAATTACAGCAGAATGTTTTTGTAGATTGAAAGATCCCGCTTTCTCCTCTGGCGCAGGGACCGGTCTCCTGACAGACCTTGTCTGCAGCAATGAAATAGATAGGGAGGGTTTCCCTTTTTTCATACATGACTCTCATTTCCCTTTGTGTCTCTGCTCCCCCAGCACGCTGGAGCACCTCAGGAGGTGGCTGCAGCCTGACAAAGTGGCCATCAGCACGGAGGAGGTGCAGTGCCTCATCCCACCCGAGCCCCGGCCCGAGCAGCAGGAGAGCGAGGAGGAGCCGCCGGCCGCCGAGCAGTGAGGTGCCACCAGCCCTGCCACAGGCTGCCTCTTGTCCCAGCCCCCAGGGAGTACCCAGCCATAGAAATAACGGGGTGGGGAGGGGGGAGGAAGTGCCAATTAGTCATTTAAAAAACCAAAAAAAACCACCCAACACACAAGAAACCCCAGCTCTGGACCTACAGCAACTGCCATTACGGACAAGAGCGGAACGCCTGTGACACAGAATATGCTGAACTGAAATCTCTCACTTTGATCTTTTCCCAGCCTGTAGCAACCTGAATCATTCCAGCCTGAATGTGACCTGTTTGTAATTCATCAGGAGATGTATTAAACAACAACAACCAAAAAAAAGCAGTTCGGGAGCATCAGAAAACGTAACGGTCTAGAATAGAACAGATAAAACCACTGACCCCGACTTTCTTCCTGGCTTGTACCTTTTCTATGACTCAGTTGGCCATTATTTTTTTTTAATTTATTTCCTGCAAAGTCCACTGTGGTGTTTCCTTAGATCTGCACAGTTTAAGTCTGAGCTGTGCCTGGAAGAAGACAGATATTTTTCACCTACCTGAATTTGGAGCCCTAAAGGCAGCCACGGTTGCAGCCATTAAACCCATTGACATTTAACTGTTTCACATTCCTCTCTGTGTAAATGTTCCCCCCCACTGTATTGACCAAACTCTCTGTAATAGAGTATGCTGGAGGAGGAGGGTTTTTTCCTTCTTGTTGGTCATTTTGTACCTGGTTCCTCATCTCCTTCACCCCTCCAAAAGAGGGTCTGGTGAGATTCTGTATCGGGAAGCCAAGAATGATGACCAGGGAGGCTACAAATAACTTGTTTTCGTCACAGACTTGCACAGAATTATTTGACTTTAAATGTGGCTCAGTATTTAATTATTCTTCCATCCTGTTTAACTGTGGTGAAGGTTTTTCTCCCCCACTACTAACCAAGGAAGGTGTAATCCTGTGCTTGTATAGAAGTGGTTCTTCCTGAGCCTGTGCTTTCTGCCTGGGCAGTGATGCTGCAGTCGGCAGAGGGAGGCAGCGTCCGTCTGCGGAGGGATGGCAGGGGCTCTGGGAGCTCACTCACCCTGGATTCATCCCACCTTCCTCACAGACCTCTATGGAAACACGTCCTTCAAAGCAGCTTCTTGATACCTCCTTCCTTGATACCCCCTTCCTTGATCCCCGTCTCTGGGCAGCGATAAACGGTGCTGTTTCCCCGCCGCTGACAGCTGTTATTCTTCTCCCTTTTTTTTTCCTAAAGCCATGAGAAATAGGGTGAATCACCCGTGTGTCACCGACAGGAGACTCGCGAGTCCTGTGTCTTATTGGAGGGTGGGTTTTGTCATCTTTTAAGTGTCCCTTTTAGTTTATCTCCAAAAATAAATCTACTTCCCTGTACAGATGGGTGCTGTCAGTCTCACCTGTGGTGTTAGGCTGTACCACAGATGCTGCTGAGTATTTACCAGAAACAGTACGTACAAAGGGAGAAAGGTGCAATTTCTCTGCCTGTGCCCAGGCTATTTTGTAGTCAATACATTTACTCCTTGTGATTAGCCATGACTGTAAAGATAGTTTTAATGGGAATAGACAAAATAATAAAGTATTGGAGAGAAATGTGTCCAAAGTAACTGTACTGAAACATGGACAGTTCTGGGTCTGCACAACCTGGCGCTTCCTCTAGAGGAGAGACCTTAGAGAGTAGCTCTCCCCATTTCATTTTTTAAAATATCTCAGAAGCTGCTGTCAATCAAACCAACTCTTGCTGGTACAAGCAGCATTTTCACCAGGGTTTTTTGCTGCTTATGGAGCAGCACCAGCCTTTCTATACATGGAGATAATTTGCAGAGATGTGCCAGTCTGAACAAGATGACAAGCTGTGGGTAACAGCCTCGTGAGAGAGAAAAAGCAAACCATGAGTAGGTGCCAACAGGCCCGCGGCAGCCGTGTCCCAAAGCGTCGGGTCCAGACTTATGCACAAGCAAAGACCGCAAAACCACAACATTTAACCTTTTCTCTGCCTGAAACAGCATTTCTCTGCCCCCTTAAGCATCCCAGAGAGCTGGATCCCACCGGTGTCGTAACCCATCACCGCCCTCAGGCTGCCAGGGCTTGGTTTTCATGGTGGGGTGGAGTAAGATGAAGTGTAAGAGAAGCCTGGGGTGCCCCAAGAGAGCAGCATGGTGGCCATCACCCCGGTGTCACCTCCCAAAGTGACAGCCAGACAACGGGGAGGGGGGAGCCAGGGGCTGGGGAGCAGCAGAAGGCAGCACTGACACCAGCGAGGCACTAAAGAAATAAAAATAATCAGGCAACAAACGCTGATAAATGCAGAGTCTGCTCCCCCCCAGGGGAGGGGAGGTCACCGAGTTCTTGCACCGACAAAACTCAACCCAAGGGAAGCAGGAGCTGGCAGCAGCAGGTGATGATGCTGAGAATATTCCATCCTGATTTTTTAATTGAGGGGCTCTCTAGGACCTTGGGTTGGGAGAACGAGGGAGGAGGGTCTGGGCTGCGGTGGCCATTGACAGAAAAGGTGACCAAAGGGACATTTTCAGAAGTGGCTCCAGGTGACTCTCTGGAGATGTCCTGCTGCTGCTGGAACCCATGGTCGTTTCTAAAAGCCAACCCGGTGACTGACACACAAAGGACAAAAATCACAGCAAACTCCAACTCCTGGTCACGTCTGTACGGGGCGGGATGGCCGTGGGATGGCACAGCAGATGCCTCAAGTGCTGATGCCTCCAGAAGCACAGCCAGCTCAGAAGGGGGTGGCAGCTCCCTGATCCATCCCCTGTGTCCTTTCAGAGACAGAAACTCCAGGAGCTTTGGAATAAGAGTTAACCTCCAGGGTCTCCAGAATAGGTACAGATTAGGCCAGAAAAGGCTTTTCCAGGGTAAGGATGTGCAGATGGAAAGGCTTCCAGTGTCACTGTGGGTCACCCTGGACCTGGCCGAGCCGGGGTGGCCACGCACCATCCCAGCTCCAGCATTTGTCACCTTCAAACTCCATCTCTCATCTCAAACGAGCTTTTAAGAGCCTCCTGCTGCCCTTATCAGATTGTTCTGCTCTTTAAAATGAGCAGACGCTCTCAGCCAGACTCTGATAAGGAGACAGAGATGATTTTCCTCCTGCTGATTATTTGTTGGAGCCGAGGGCTCCCCTCTGCAGCCAGGTCCTGGCTGCCCTTAATATGGAACACCCACCCACGGCCACCAGATCCAGACAATTCACAGCCTCCTCTCCCCAAAAGCCATGGTTCTGCAGAACTTCTAGGACTTCTCTGACAGTTTCCATTCCTCTTAATTACAAATCATTCCAGCTGTTTATTATTATTTTTAATTTTCCCTTAAATAAGTAAGCTGGGAAGGAAAAGAATGAAGAGATCCTGCACATGGGATCAGAGGCTTCCATGGACATGGAGCTGATGGGCAATGACCTGCTTTGGATCCGGCAGCCGGGTGCCCTGGGCACCTTAAACCACAACCAACCCCCTTTCTGTACATTCCCTCATTATGGGGCATGCAGTAATTAATCCACCTGACTTCAACACAACAGCCGGGGAGAAACAAAGATTTGGTTTTCCTTCCACAGGAGAAAGAAAAGAAAAGTCACAAAGCCCCAGTTCTTCCACAAGGGACAAGAACTGCTCCAAGGCAGTTTCCCCACGGCGTGTTTCTGAGTAGCCGAGAGCTTTAAATGGCAGCCTTTGTCCCGACACCTCTTAATAAAAACTTACAATAGTATTTTAGCTGAAAGAAGGTGTTTCTTTTTTTTTCCCCAGGACAAACTTTGCAAACCCCGGGTGGATTCTGGATGCTCGTTGCTCTCCCAGCACCTTTATAACCCGCTGTTCTATGGTAAATGACCCCAAAACCATCAGAGAGTCCAGGGGAATTCAGCTGCTGGGGCTGCCCAGGGGGGGCTTCCTCCCCCCAAGTGCACTTCCCAACATTTTCACCTCTGTTTTTACTCTCCCCCTGCTTTGGGATATCTCCCAGACCAGCCCTGGCCAGGACCGACCCAAAAAGGGTTTGCTGGGGGCTCCCTCCACGCTGAGAAACCAAAAAAAAACCTCCACAAACCGTCTAATGGGTGGCTGTTTGCCCTGAGGTGACACCAGCCCGTCCCTTGGGTCCGCAGGGTAATTATCCCCAGATTGATTTCAGCCCTCGTTACCACCGAGCTCGTCATAAGGCTCTTGTGTAACATTTCGGAGGCGAGGCGATGACGGGCGGCACCGGACGCTGGTGTTCCTGTCTGCCAGGGAAATCTCGTTAGGAGTTGTACCTTATTAACTTCATCTCGCCACTGGAGTCAGTATCAAGTACCAATAGCAAAGCAACACTCGGTTCCTCTTTTTAAAAATCACACAATGCAACCGTGTGACAGTAATAATTGCCCAATTAAGGCTAATTTCTCTCAAGCCCCTGTTTCTAGAGCCTGTCTCCACCTCTCCATCTCTCACAGGGTGATCCAACAGCATCAGACAAGGGGGAACGGGTTCCAGAAGAAGACAGAGTGGGACAAGCAGCCCTGTGGTGGGTGCTGGGAGAGGGAGGATGAGGAGGAGCTGCAGCCCATGAGCGGGCACCACGAGAAATTCTTTACAGTGAGGGTGGTGAGACACTGGAACAGGTTGCCCAGGGAGGTCATGGCTGCCCCATCCCTGGAGGGGTTCAAGGCCAGGCTGGAGGGGGCTTTGGGCAACCTGCTCTGGTGGGAGGTGTCCCTGCCCAGGGCAGGGGGGTTGGAACTGGATGATCTTCAAGGTCCCTTCCAACCCAAACCATTCTATGACTATGACTCTATGACGTGACCCACAGACCGGGGGGCTCCACGAGTCACCCCAACCACCCAGACCCCAGCACTGGAAAGACTTCTTGTGCCTCTGCACCCCCTTTTGCTGTGTTTGTGCCCAGGGGCTCCCTCCTCGCCCTCCACAGAACCCCCCCGGGGCAGGAGTGATGCTGCTCCCCCCCTGCCATCCCCCTGATTTAGGGATTTCTCCCCATCACCGCTCCCACCCCCAGGACAGCAGAGCCCCAGCCCAGACACACGTCGGGGTGATGGGGCAGGGTCCTGGGCAACATCAAGCAAAGAAAGGAATTCCCTGAAACCGCCTTATGCAACGATAAATGCTCTGGCCTGGTCCTGGCTCATTGAATTCCCCGGAGCCAGCGGGTACCGGCAGCGACCCGATACCCCCCAGCAAAGCCCTGGAGCTCACCGTTGCCAAGAGCCTGATGCTCCTCACTGTGTTGCCTGAGCCTGGCTCCAGCCACACTTGGTTTTTTTCATTTCCTCTCTTATTTCCAGCGTTCAGCTTCACAGCCCCCCTCAACGTGCTCTCCTCCTGCCCCCCCAGCGCTCAGTGGGGACACACTGGGGAAAAGATTCACATTTTTGTCCCCATGCTCCCCCAGATAGGTGCTGCCGGGAGAGGGTCAGACAGATTGGCAGCTCCAGCCTCCAATACTCACATTTTTGGGTCTCCCCTTCTCCCTCCTCAGCGCCTTGAGATGCAGGATCGGCCTCATCCAGCTCTTCCACCAGCAAAAAAGCCCCTTCACACCCTCACATCCAGGAGATGGAAACCTCATCACAAAAAAAAAGCAGTTCGGGAGCATCAGAAAACGTAACGGTCTAGAATAGAACAGATAAAACCACTGACCCCGACTTTCTTCCTGGCTTGTACCTTTTCTATGACTCAGTTGGCCATTATTTTTTTTTAATTTATTTCCTGCAAAGTCCACTGTGGTGTTTCCTTAGATCTGCACAGTTTAAGTCTGAGCTGTGCCTGGAAGAAGACAGATATTTTTCACCTACCTGAATTTGGAGCCCTAAAGGCAGCCACGGTTGCAGCCATTAAACCCATTGACATTTAACTGTTTCACATTCCTCTCTGTGTAAATGTTCCCCCCCACTGTATTGACCAAACTCTCTGTAATAGAGTATGCTGGAGGAGGAGGGTTTTTTCCTTCTTGTTGGTCATTTTGTACCTGGTTCCTCATCTCCTTCACCCCTCCAAAAGAGGGTCTGGTGAGATTCTGTATCGGGAAGCCAAGAATGATGACCAGGGAGGCTACAAATAACTTGTTTTCATCACAGGCTTGCACAGAATTATTTGACTTTAAATGTGGCTCAGTATTTAATTATTCTTCCATCCTGTTTAACTCTGGTGAAGGTTTTTCTCCCCCACTACTAACCAAGGAAGGTGTAATCCTGTGCTTGTATAAAGTGATTCTTCCCAAGCCTGTGCTTTCTGCCTGGGCAGTGATGCTGCAGTCAGCAGAGGGAGGCAGCGTCCGTCTGCGGAGGGATGCCCCACTACTAACCAAGGAAGGTGTAATCCTGTGCTTGTATAAAGTGATTCTTCCCAAGCCTGTGCTTTCTGCCTGGGCAGTGATGCTGCAGTCAGCAGAGGGAGGCAGCGTCCGTCTGCGGAGGGATGGCAGGGGCTCTGGGAGCTCACTCACCCTGATTCATCCCACCTTCCTCACGGACCTCTATGGAAACATCCTTCAAAGCAGCTCCTTGATACCTCCTTCCTTGATCCCAGTCTCAGGGCAGCAACAAACGGTGCTGTTTCCCCGCCGCTGACAGCTGTTATTCT